TCGTTGTCTAAAGTTTCAGTCAACCAATGCATTGAAGTTTTTCTCTTGCGATGGAAAGATATTTTCAAATTTTATCAAGGGTTTTATAAAAGTTACCTTGTAGGAAAAGTAATTGTATTATGTTATAGAGATTCGTTTTTCGTATTGTAGTTTTTTTTTTTTTTTTTGCTTCAAAAAATACGGTCCTCACAAAATGTTGTGTGTAGGAAATTTTTTGTGGTCATTTTGAATGATGAATGCAAACCTCTTTTATCAATTGCCAAACTCTAATTGACTATTACTTTTCTTGTTTCATCTCGATTTTCACATGGTTTTAAGGCTTGGTGTGTGATGGTACAATGTCAAACCTGATCATTACTCATACAATGGACATACTAAATATGGTGATCTATGTTGCACCGACACTGACACAGGACACGAGACATGATACGCTGACATGTTAATTTTAAAAAATATCATATTTTGACATGTTATTAAATAATATTTTTAATGTATATAATATAATTTATATTTAATACATATAACAGTCCATAATAAGTCATATAATCAATTAAATATTCAAATTTCATAACATAAATATAAAGCAAAAGTAATTTTTCATACATTATTAATTTTTTATGTCAAATTTTATAGCAGAAAAAAATTGACTTATAAATTAATTTTTCATTTTTAGTTAATAAAATAAAATTTAGACATAAAAAAAAAATGTGTCGGATGCGTGATTCAGTAAGCTCTTTGACCAAACTCACTCAAATTGAATCGGTTCTAGACGATTATGGGACATTTGAAGCTTTGAATTCACGGGTTCCATGAATGTTTGATGATCCGCTAAGGAACATGTTATTGAGGGTATTTTTAGTATCTAATTTGTAATTTCTTTTAATTTATAATTTTTTTAATAATGACCTAAAAGATGGTGAAAATGAGTGATTTTGTAAGATATTGAGGATAGTCATAACTCTTAGAGCTGATACAAAAGTGAATTTGGGTTAACTATGCTAGTCTTCCTCTTGTACAATTTTTTTTGAAATAATAATAATTAGGTATAAGCTGGCTTTAAGCCATTAACTTATTGGTTAACTGAATTAGGTCAAATTAACATGACTTTATGTGAGTTAAAAAAAGTTAGCCCAACTCATTCCTCTAGTTGTGGAATCAAGTTGGCCCATAGGTTGACCTCCTCCTCTACCCTATCCCTTTTTTTCTACTTCTAAGTATTGAGACCTTATATATTTGATATCATTCTTCTTTTCTATCTTGTTCGTATTACGTCATCTAAAGTTTAGAATAACTTTTGAAGCACATATTTTTAAGTTATAAGATATTAAGAATAGTTATTAGGAGTAAGTTATATTTATAAATTTTTTGTTTATAAACTATATTATGTATCCCCAGAAATACATTCCTAGCTGAGTCTATTCTCAAGAATACATAGTGTGGTTTCTAAATAAAAAGTTTGCAAATATATCCTTTCCCTATTTGTAAATCTTGAAATTTATGACACAAAGGAATAAATTTAAAATAAATTATTTTAGAGTTGATATAAAAGTGAATTTGGGAAAGCTAAGCTAAGTCTTCCATGTTTGTAATTTTTTTTTAAATAATTATAATTAGGACAATAGATATAAACTCAACTCTACCCATTAACTTGTTGGTTAAGTGAACCATGTAAAACTTTTATGGTTTTATGCGAGTTAAAAAAAGTTAGCCTAATCCATTTCTTAGCCCTTAAGTTGAGTCGGCGTATGAGTTAACCTCTTTTCTTATTTTATATTTTTCTCAGGAATTGAGATCAGTTCATTTCGTAACCGTTAAGTTGAGTTGGTGCATGAGTTATCCTCTTTGCTTATTTTATATTTTTCTCAGGAATCGAGATCAGTTCATTTCGTAACTGTTAAATTGAGTCGGCGCATGAGTTTTTCTCTTTTCTTATTTTATATTTTTCTCAGGAATTGAGATCAGCTCATTTCGTAACCGTTAAGTTGAGTCGGCGCATGAGTTATCCTCTTTTCTTATTTTATATTTTTCTCAGGAATTGAGATCAGTTCATTTCGTAACTGTTAAGTTGAGTCTGCGCATGAGTTATCCTCTTTTCTTATTTTATATTTTTCTCAGGAATTGAGATTAGTTCATTTCGTAACTGTTAAGTTAAGTGGGCCCACGTGTTGACCTGTTTTCATTTTTTATATTTTTCTCAGTAATTGAGACAGTATATATTCATATTATCCCCCTTTTTCGTTCCTCTTACATGTTTATTCGCCGTCATCTAGAACCTTCGTTGTCGTCCAACATTGAGTAGTAAGTCAATTTTCACTCATTTCTCTTCATTTTATTGCTAGTTTATCAAATATTACCATAGATCTAAGCTCAATAGATAATGATTTTCTTGTGTAGGGTGGCACAATTATTCTTCATTTCGTGAAATTTTTTTGACTTCAAGGTATGTGTTTTCAATTTCGACACTTTCCTTTAACAATAAATCATGTTATTCGAGTTAAATATTTGTGGATTGCTCGATTAGTTTCATAATGTATATGAGATTTTACAAGTGGATACTAATTGATGTTGGAAATAACTTGTATGAAAATTTATGAAAGAGAGCTGGAAACTCACACATATTAAATAGATGGAGCCTAATTAATTATTGTGAATCTCTATAAAGAAAGAAATAAACACAAAGTTTAGATACAATTAGATCATGTTGAATTTGCACATGAGAGGACCAGCACTTGATATGTACACAATCTTCCAAGCTTGTTATTTTTTTTTTGAAACATGTACTCACCCATTTGAATAACACTAATTTTCTTCGTCCCTGAGTATTCTTGCCACTATCCTCAATTGATTTTCCAATTTCAAATAATTATAATTATATTTTGACTTAGATGAATGTTAAATGCATTTTGAGAAACAGTAGTTTTATTTGGAAACACATTGTTCACTTTGAAAACATTTTAAACTTAGTTCAAAAAGAAACCCCTTCACCTTCCTCTGGTTCAAAACTCAACTACAATTAGACAAGATTGACTTGCTAATCTATGTATGTTGAGTCCTTGCCAATCTATGTAAGTTTAATCCCTTAAAGGGGTTTTCTGAACATCCAATATGGTTATTTTTACACTACATTGCATGATATTGAAAGTAAAAATAAAATAAAATCTTCCTTAAGCATTTTTTCGTGAAGCTCAAATAAATTTTGTTTACACATTAAATTTATTCACAAACCCTTTTAGACTCAGATTCCTTTTTCATTTAAATTTATGTATTTTTTTAATAAATATCCTGCTGCATTTTCAAAAATATACATATATAAATTAATAAAATAAAAAAAGTGGTAAACTTTTTGTTATTTTTTTAATAAACTTTTTCCCTATTCTACACACATTTTACTCTCCTTCAGAATTTTACTTTCTCATACAATTTTGCAACGTAACACCTTAATGTTTTGCACAGATAAATTTTAGCACTTATGATATATTAAGGACTCATTCTCACACCACTAAAATAAAAAAAATAAAAAAAAAAGATGAATCTGAGTACATTTATTTTATCTATTTCTTTATTTTTAATGTCATATGAGTCTATTTATTTTTAAATAGCCCCAACACATCATCAAACACATTGCAACGTTGCACCCTGTTTGCTTGTTTTTTTCTTAGTCTTGAAAATTAAGGGGGAAAAAAGAAAAGAAGGGAAACACATTGAAAAACAAAACAGAAGCACAAAAAACATTAGCCACCAACGATCCACACAAACTAAAGCCGCGCCACCAACAGCTTGCCATCACAACACCAAACCAAACCACTAAACAAATTTGATAGCCCCTGCCGTTCCATCATCAACACCAATTACCCTATATTTATTTTGGCAATGCTAATTTTGTAAGTTTAATAAAAAATTTTTTTTTTTTATTTCATTACTTTCTTGATTTATTAATATTTAACTTATAGTTCAGTTTTTTACTAGTTTGTAAATATTTTGTTCATGTTTAATTGTTATTTTGTAATTTTTTTAATGCTATGATTTCAATATTAAATATTTATTTATGTTTATTATTATTGATTATTTATTTTATGAATTTAATATGTTTAAATTATTGTACTTCGCATTACTAATTTGAAAGTATCCGTCTTAGAAATGATATATGAGAGTGTTATAAGATTCAGCTAGTCGCCACCTTATTCATAAACATATTCTCTAAGTTTTTACGTAGATTAGCTTTGTTTATATTTTTTAGGAGATAATAGGTTTCAGGGAAATGAATCCGTAATGTTACAGAAATAAAAGTAACATTCCAGTAGATACAATACTCAAGAGAGAGAAAGTCATATGAATGGAAGAAGAAAAAAACTTGTGGACCCCATATTCTTACTGTGTGTGCAGAAATAAATAATAACTCTCCTGTTACATGATACATATATAACCCTAGATTTTATCCATTAAAATTAAAGGGTTAAACCTCACTTATCTCCATCCTCCTTTATTGCACTACACACACTATCCTAATTGACTTCTAGCCTTCTTATACACATTGATCCATCACCATTTGTGGTTATTTCCTCCGTAGATACCATAGGTCTTGATGTCCCAAATTAATCATGATCCGCTCAGATCTAACCGATTTTTTTAAATTTTGGTTGAGTTTTTTTTTTTCAATTTTTTTCCTAATTAATAAATTTAGAGACCACTATTGTTCATATTTTATTTAAAAAAATTGTAATTTCCTCACTTGGCAATCTTGATTGCGATATTAATATGATTTATTGATCAAACGTGAACTTTTTGTGTAACCTTACAAATGGCCAAATTCATCTGCAAAGGAGTTTGTAATCAGCATGACAAACTCAAGACTAAATTGAAACTATCATGGAAGTGGGGGACAACATTACTATGTTTTTGTGATTTGTTGATGATTGTTTTCTTCAAAAAAGTGGTTGTTTTGTTAAATTTTGCTGCCAATAATTATTAGCTTAATATTTGTCGAAGTTTATTTTGATTAGATGGTGCGGAAAGGAAATATGTTACAGAAGCTGCCAAAGATGATCAGAGGAAAGTGTGGTGAAAAAACAGAAGGAAAAGAAAGCGTGGATAGAATTAGTCAATTACCAAATTGCATTCTGCTATGTATAATGGCATTTATGACAACAAAAGAAGCTGTTCGGACTTGTGTCTTGTCCAAAAGATACAAGGACCTTTGGAAATATGTCCCTGCACTGATAGTAAGAAGCACAGAGTTTCAAAATCTTGAATTTTTCAAGAACTTTCTGTGCAATTTTTTGCTCCATCGCGATAATTCTACTGCCTTGCATAATGTTGTTGTTGAGTCTGAAGGGTATATTACCAATCCAATACTGTTCAAGCTCTTCCAATATGCTTTATCTCATAAAGTGGAGCAATTCAAAATCGATGTCTACAGTTTCGGTTTTGTACCAAAAGACACTGAGTTTTTCTGTTCCATTTTCTCATGCCATTCCCTCACATCTCTTGACCTTTCACTGCGTCATTGTAGAGGGAAAGCAATTCTTCCAAAAACTCTAGACCTTCCTGAGTTAATAAATTGTCATCTAAGAAAGGTTGCATTTTCTTCAAGTGATGATTACAATGGTCCTGCTGAGCCATTCTCAAACTGCAAGAAGCTGCGTACTTTGGTCATTGACTGTTGCACTTTACATGAGGCAGAGAGCCTTTATATATTGAATGAAAATGTTGTCAATCTGACCGTACGGTTTAACATTTTGAACTGTCATCCTTCCAATGTTCAGATATGTACTCCAAATCTGATTTCATTTACTTTCGTGGGTGGTCTTCTTTCTGATGGGGGAGCTGTGCATACACTGTTTGAGCACAATCTAGATTTTCTTGAAGAAGCAAGAATTGAAGCTTGGTGTGTTTTACCTACTCCTAAGATTGCAGGTACCTTGCAAAAATTGCTGAAAAGGTTCAACCATATAAAATCACTGACACTCTCTTCAGCAACTCTTGAGGTACGTACCTTAAATCACTATGTTTCAAGCATATACGGGAGAGGTTGTAAATACTTACAACATGTTTTGCCTTATAACCTTTTATAATCATTCATGTTACTCTTGATTTGTTTTTTATCTAATAATAACAAAAATAGTTGCATGAGATTATAAGGTAAAAGAGGTTGTAAATATAACATCCACATATTAATATATGTTTAAACCTATATGTAAAGAACTTTGGGATACACCATCCCAAAAGTTAGCTCCAAGGGTGGGAGTGTCTAAGGCCTTATAAACTCCACATTAGTTGCACATACAACCAATGTGGGACTATATATCTCAACACGCCCCCTCACACGAGATTCCATTGGGCTCGAAGAGTGGACAATGTAACAGGCTCAGCCTACCTGTGCTAAGAAACGCCACAAGAGAAAGTGGGGGGCGGCGAGGCTCTGATACCATGTAAAGAACCTTGAGATACACCACCCCAAAAGCTAGCTCAAAGAGTGGGAGTGCCCAAGGCCTTATAAACTCCACATTAGTTGCTCATACAACTAATGTAGGACTATATATCTCAACACTATCATAACATATATTTTATTTTATTCCAAGTCTTTGATAATGAATTTGTCTAAATCACCCTCAATGCTTAATTAGGTTGTCGCTGTGATTCCTGATTTTCCCGATGCTGAACCTGTTGGCTTTGGTAACTTGAAATCATTGATCGTGAAACTTGACCCTTTTGCACGTCCACCATGTGGAGAAGCATTGGACTACTTGCGTCGAGATTCTCAATGTGCAGCAGCTACTCTTACTCAAGGTAATATATACTAATGCTTAATTCTTGGCAGTGAGTTATATAATTAATTTGGTCATAGCTTTTTTCTCTGTTCTCTCTTTCCAACCCTCTCTCTCGTTACAGCAAATTATACATGGATGGATTTAGCCTATGAAAATATTCTGGTAAGAAATTTGAATTGAATTGGATTTGTTCTTCACATTGTATAAAAATATATATAATTCAAGGGTCAAGAATTTGATTCCTACCGTCCCATTCTTGTAATATAAAGTTTAATTGACATAATTGACATAAGTAGGATCTCCATAGCACTTTAATTTGACTCAAAAGGAAGATTTCTGTTATTATTATATGCTCTCTGCAAAAACTCATGAATAATTTTATTTATTACTTTTAGCTTCTCCATTATATTTTCATTTCATTCATTTAGCATTGGAACTTACACTTCTGCTTTTTCTTTATTGCTCCCGCTCAGAAATGCCGTCCTACTATGATGAAGGCATGGCGTTTTTCATAATCGATGATGTGTGAAGAGGCCAAGGCATGCACTCTGCAGTAACTGGATGGTCTTGCATGCTTTGAATGTTTAAAAACTTTCAAGTACTTTTACTTTGGTTATTTGGAATTAAACCCTCTTTCTTATTGATTAGAATCTTGAACGTATTCAGTTGGGCTCCATTTTATTGGAGACACTTTGCAAAACTATTTCGAATATATAAAACTATGAATGCTTTATTAATATTTGAATTTTGTGTTTTGTATTTCTCTTAAGGGTTTGGTATGTGATTTGTGATAGTCATGCGACTATATAGGATTGATATTGAATACCACACTACTATGGTATTGAATCTGAATACCTGGAATAAAACCAGTACCATAATGTTAATGAGTACTGTTCTAAGGTATAAAATGATCAATCCATATGTACAACCAGTGATGAGGTTGACAATTGCTCTCCGTATCAGCTTAAGGATCCTGGTATGAAGAATCAGTACCTCTCTCTAAGAGATAAGTATTTGTATTAATGATGTATTCTCCGTGAGGGAGGATGCAATGAGAGAGAGAAGGTTCTGGTTGTGTATGGTCTGATTACCATTGTTTAGTGTTCAACCATTTGTACGTGCATCTTAGGTGTCTTATATAGTTATTCTCCGTGAGGGAGGATGCAATGAGAGAGAGAAGGATTCATAATACCCATTGTTGAAATTTTCCCTTTTTTTGGGTGCAATCTATCCCTTCATATACAAAGCCATATAAAGTTAAGCTTTTGATCTAAATCCAGTAAGGGAAGAACTTTGATTAGAGGAATAGGAACCTTGAGTCATACCACAATGTTTCTACCATCCATATTCAAGTGATTGCATGTGTCGAGGTGCTGTTTTGAACAGAATTGATTATGATACGATTTGTTTAGTGACAAATCGAAGTTCTTGGTGTTATTATGAATCTTGTATCCAACCAAATGCATGTTCCACATGTCTTGCTCATAAGCGATTGAGCATGTGTTATTTGTCCTATAATTGCTAAATTCTTCTGCTCTAAATTTTGAAAGGAATAGTATTGATATGAACTCTAGGAAAATCTGAATGCATTGTCCAGTACTAAATTGATTACATGTACTGAAATTTTGTAAATGAGTTGATACATTATCATTGAGGTGCAGTTTTCTTGATGCAATATCAATTAATAACTATGAATGTGAATCCTCATTTTTATTTGTTGTTTGTCTTACTCAAAGCGTAGATATTGCAAGAAAACTGCAATATCATTGAGTTGAATGATGTCTAATAGAAATAAAGGGGTAAAAGAAAAATTTACAAAAGCTTGACTTTAACTACTATTTTCTTCAAGCTAGTAGAGTGACAAGCCAAGAAATTTATCATGAAACTAAGCTAGGACGTCACCTCCATGCCCACCATATCATCAAGTATGAGTACCCTAAGGGTCATAATTTCGAGTAACAAACTAATGTTAACACCAAGTGATATTACTCCAAGCAGTCCTATAATTCTTTATGAAGAGTATAAAAGTTTGTGTTACACCAATAGAATTACAGTAACCTAACCTTTCAACTATTTTATGTTAGTTGAAACTCATCCCCCAAATACTTTTTGAAAATTCGATTATAGTTCATTGACTTATGATTTTGCTTTATTTCATCACACCTTTTCCTATTCTCTTATCTTGGCTATCTACAACAAGCATTTTATGTTTATATATATATCATTATCACTATTCATTCACATATCTTTCTTTTTCTTATTCACTGTCAATGGATCACCTTTATTTACGGGACATATGTGACTTATCCATTGGTGTACAAACATCATTTATATCTTGGAAATGCTTTTAACATGTTATATTAACAAGCTTTTATCTCAATTTTGACTTCATCATTGTCAGTTGTTCAAAGTCAGTCCTTCACCAATCTCATGTTAGTAAATAACATGAGAAGATTTAAATAAAATAACATGAGAGGTAAAAAAATCAAATAGTACTACCGACCACTTGAGTTCAAATCAAACGAGGGATATCTGCATTTGTTTCACGAACCTATAGAATGTGAAAATTCCAATATACATATGGGCTCAATTTTTACGAATCAGCACATGTAAGCAAAAGGGGAGAAGACGAGAACAAAAACAGAACAGTTTCTATCATTGGAGTATTTGCAAGTCAATTATCCCTATCCCTAGAAAAAGAAAACAAAATAAGAAGGAGGAGGGTTGGGGTGTTGGGGGGTTGAACTTAATTTTTAGGAATCCTTATACAGTAACTGGTACTTTGGTATACGTTCAGGCGGGACAGGGCAATTCACAATAAGCTTTCCCTTCATAGCTCCTCTAAATATTGCCTGCAGGAATGTAAAAACAGTTTCATGAATACCAATAATAACTACCTGGAAGCATACATTTTCCAGATATCCCCATAAAATTGTAGTTCAGTAAACTCTTTTAAGAAATTTTCAAATTATATAATTGAAACTTACTGGTTGTGCTTACTCAAGCCAGAAAGTCATTTTCAAGCATTCTTCATTTTTCCCACCATCCAAAAGGAAGTGTGATAGGACTTACCCATCATAAGGGTGTATTCTAGCAAGGGCCGTTGGGGAATAGGCCTTTCCCATGTTGTGATTGATTATGTTATTGACTCCATATTTATGAGTGATTGATGATGTATTTATGTAGTTGATTTATGGGTGATTGATTCCATATTTATGGATATTGATCTTAAATTTATGGGAAATCTGTTATTAATAGGAGAGAAGGGAAGGTCATAAAACAAACTATTGAGCGGTTAGAAAATGAGAGTTGGAGAGACCATTGTCTCTCAAAAGCCTTGGGCAGAGGTTGCAGACCCTTGAAGTTCTGCACTATTCAGCCCTTGTTTTATCTTGTCTTGACTAGAGCTGTCAAAATGGGCCAACCCGTCCCATTAGGCTCTAGCCCGTGTGGGTTGGAATCAAAAAGCCCGCAGGGTCAAATGAATATCAATAATAAAGGCCCGCACCGGTCAAAAGCCCTATGAGTTAGGTCTATTCCCCTAATTATATTTAGAGTCCTATATAAGGACATATCTTAGATGGAAAAAAAGGGTACTTGGTAAATTCAGAATATAATAATATTTCCTTATCTTCAAAAGCTCATACTTGTTCTTATCTTATTCTTCCTTTGATTTTCTATCTACACTTCATTTTCCTTTCTTTCATATTTCACTTTCTCTTATATTCTTCATGAAATTCACAACAATTTTTACTTATATTATTTTTACAATTTATTTTATATTTATAAATATTTAAATAATGAAAATTTTGATTAAGAAAAGAGTTTGGCTCGCGGACTAGCCCGCTAAATTATAGGGTTTTGAGGGTTAGTGCTAAAAAAGCCCTACCACAAAAAGACCCTAATGGGTTAGGGCCAAATATAGAGCTTTAGGGGCTGGCCCGCAAACTTTATCACATTTTGACACCTCTACTTAAAAACTTACTCCCAAACAATTTTATTACAAGAGAAAAAAATTCCTGAAAATAAGGAAAAAAAAAATTTGCCCTATCACTAGCAAAAAAAAAAGGGCAAACTCTTCCTCTGTTTGAAAACTATAAAAACTGCTTCTGTGGTTTGGAGTGGGGTAGCCGCTGAACACCACGTTCAGCAGCTGGTGTGTGGAGTCTTTGGCCATTAGAAGTCAGCTAATCAGTAGCTGGTAGAGTTGTGGATTCTGTAAATAGTCATTTTCGAGTCTGTCATGTTGTTGTTCTGTTTTCTGTTCTGATTTTGCTTCTATGGGTATACTGAAGGAGCTTTGTACCATTGAACCATTCAATTAATAGAAGTAATTTTACTGTTGTTTATTGTTAACTTGGGTACCAACAAACAATAAATTTAGTATTCAATAAACAATTAGCAGTTAAAGCAATTTATAATCATTCCAACTAGATCAAAGATCCACATGAATGACATTATTATTCCAGCAAACAAGGATACGCACCTCTACAACATCAATGAAATCTTGCTTTATGTGAAAAGCACCAATCCATTTAGTATGATCTGCAGTCCTACATAAAGTATAACAAAATGTCAAAAAACTCGCTCTCTAATTTAATGATACTAGTCAGAACATCAGATAAGCATACCTCAAGAATTGAGGGAAAAAATCTCTCTTTAACAAAACTGAAATGATGACATCAAAACACTATACTACTAGAATTCTAAGTCATCTTTTACAGAACAAGAATTACAAAATACAAAAAGCAGTAGTTTGTATTTATACTAACTAAACTCTCTAGGAAATGACATTTAATTGTACTCCAAAAATAATGAAACTTTTCATCAATACAGGTGTATATTAGATGAACACATTTCATTTAGACTCCAATCCCAAACTTGACTACACTTCATATGGTTGCAAATTTCACAAACCAAACTTAATTGGTAAGATATCTACCCCACTCAACCAATACGTTTGAGTAATTGATTAGTTCAGATACCATTTATTGGTATAAGGGTAAAACTCTTCAGTCTTTCCAACTAGCTCATCTGGCTTAATAATAAAAGTAGGCCCACTTAATTGGTGTTTCTCTTAGAAATCTTTATCATCAAGTCCTCCTCCCTCAAAACCTTTGATATCATTTAAACACTAAAACCTGTAATTAACAGATTATTAAACATTCATGATATTTAAAATATTGCCTGAAAATTTTAACTCCATAAAATTTATTAAAATATGGTCTATAACACTAGTTGATTCTATATAAAATACAAGTTTATTAAATCCAGCAAACAAAAAGACCAAAAAGACTACATCAAATAGCCATTAGTGATCAAGTGTACGCATATATATATGAGGAATTCCACTCTAAAAAATCAGATGAAAAAGAAAATAGAAGTGGAATGTTTAGTCAAGCGGGTTCAGAATATGAGCAACCTCATCTCAACATAGATATATCCTTCCTAAAAAATTTTAATGATAAATAAATTACTCCATACTACTTATTTGCACAGTAGGAACAGTTACTAACTGAAGGCCTTCTCAACTAACAAACTCTCCCCTCCCCTCTCCACCCACCCGCTCACACTGCCCAACCCACATGCAGGGACCAAAGTTTATAGACACAGAAAGATCAGTGCTATGAAACTTGAAGAGAAAAGATCATGTCCAATTTTCAAACCTTGGATCAGCCAAGTTCTTGTTCTACACTTTTCATCACGGCAAGATTCTCAATTAAAAGAGCATAATAGTGCTACAGACCAAAAAAGTAGTAAATGCAAACTTACAGTCTATTTTGCCACTTATCTATGCATATAACATATCAATCAGGTATAGTTCATAACCATAAGTCCATAACATTTACAGATTGCTTTGGTAGGAATAACATCACAAATTCAAAGGCAAAGAACTCAAATTTAAACATTAAAAAAGGAAAAACAGACTGCAAATCTAAATATTTTTCAAAATATGGCATAAGCTTTATTGTTTCCAGCAATACTTTTCAATGGGAATCATAACTCTTTAAGTAAACCATCTAACACAATATCTGCCACATACACAAACATAATGAAATGAAACAACAACCAATTGAAGAAACAGGAAGAAAAAAAAAACAAAGGGGCAGAGAGCAGCATACCCAGAATCCATTTTCATGTGATGGGCATTGAAGAAAAACACAGTAGATGGTATCAAAGTGATGTCAAAATACTTGACATAGACTTGAAGGTCCTGTGAGTCAACATCAACCAGTGCCACAGTTGCAAACTTGGACACATCCCTTGCTGCTTTAGAAAGCTGTATAGACAACATGAGTTTGATTTAGGGATAGTGTGAAATTCTAAAAGAGAGAAAAAAAAAATTGAAAAATAAAATAAAACAAAATTGAAATGTATGAGAATGAAAAGCATACAATTTCGTCGAGCTGGAGACAGACAGGGTCAGAGGCACGGCCAAATCGGAGGACAAGAACCTTATCAATGGTGTCTCTGATGATGGAATCAACCTCTAATTTCTTAGACAACGTTGTTAACAGGTAACTCATTCTCTTTCACTACAATTTAATTTCGGAACATCAAATTCAATTACATAACAATTGCCTGTGTTTATCTTAATTGATTGAGAAATATGAAACCTGCGTTTTTCTTAAAGAGCGACGATGAGGTGATGGTTCTTCCTTGTTTCATGGTGATTTTTCCCATCGTTAAAATAAGGAAAAAGCCGGTTAAATTTAACCTAATAATTTATAACGATTAATGGATGGAAATTAATTATTAGAATTTAAAATGATATATGATTATATATATTCTTTAAATGTATAGAAATTTTTTCCATTGTAAAATAAGGAAAAAGCACATTGGGAAAAAACAGGATTTTTTTCTTTTGATGATTTTACTTTTTTTCTCTAAACTCCAAAATAACCTGTTTTGAGATGGTAAGAAATAATTTTAACGCTAGATTTATAAAATAATTATTTAGTTAAAGATTATATTAATTTCAAATATATATATTAGAAAATTAAATTATTTTTTATTAGATTATTCAAAAAATAATATATGTATTTTTAAATTATGATATTAATATTTCATATATATTCAGAAAATTAATTTAAATATTTTATATTAAATATTTGTCAATACTAAAAAACCTAATCCTAAAAAAATCATAAAAAAATTTAGAATATTGATAAAAAAATTTAATAAAAAAAATCATAAAAAACATAAAATGCAGTTTCAAAACGAGTTTTTTTTTTCCAGTAAACAAAACGAGTTTTTAATTACTATAGTCACGACAATTAAAAATAATAATAATAAGTGTCGTGCAGTTTGCAAGATTGATCGATGGAAATTTTTTTTTTTTTTTTTTGGTAATCGATGGGAAATTTAATTATCAACAACGTCGTATGAGACAAAACACGGTGCTTTGAACCCAGATCGGTCAAACTGGCTATATATTTTATATTTTTTTAATTTTTTAATCTATTCATTTAAGATTATTGGTCAAAAATTAAAAAGGTCGTTAAATAATTATTAATTATAAATAAATAAAATTTATATTTGATTGAACTATCTTTTATTAAAATTTGTAAATATTATCACTATATTAATATTTTCTCACACTTATTAATGTTAGTGACAAAATCAAAAAAAAATTCTAAAATAATACATGAAAAAAATGAACGTATAAAAAGAAATGTCAAATGAGGAAAGCCACACGTCTTATCGGCACAGGAATTTAAATTAAAAATAGGGAAAAAAATGTTTGTTGACGAATTTTATTTAATATTATCACAGGAATTATTTTTTATTTAATATTTAAATTAAAAATATTTATTTTCTTCCATTATAATTTTTATTATGTATTTCTTTCTCTCACTATAAAAGATTGTATTTTTGATTAAAATAACAATTTAATATTTTTTTTTAAAAACGAACACGAATCCCTTAAAAATATCACTGGCCTATTGAGAAATTACGAAATTGAATAAAGAAATAAAAGAAGAAAATTAAAAGAATCTAAAAATCAAACAGTTCAAACATATTAGTCAAACTAAAAGTCTATAACTGAATTGAAATCTTCTTGCATAAATCAAGTCATTATCGTTACTAAAAATTACAAAATATTGCAAATTGAGGTTAACTTTTTTTTTAAAAAAAATCTCAAGAATATTCTCCGACCATAACCAAAGACTAATCTTAATCGAACAATGTCAAACCCTTTCGAGAGAAGCTCTACCAAATTCCTTTTTTTCATTCCCAAAGCTCGCACTATCGAGACAATTTGAAGTGTGTATATCAAAAAATAATTTGAGGTGTACATTAGAATTACTGATCCGGATAACATATAGGCCCATTAGAGGCCCAATAACGTACGAAGAAGCCCAGACCCATTAAGGATCCAGAGCAAGCGCGATGGACAAACATCGCGTATAAGACGTGATGCCCTCATCGCGCAGGACAGGACGCGATGCCTATATTGCGGAAACCCTTTCGAGAGAAGCTCTACCAAATTCCTTTTTTTCATTCCCAAAGCTCGCACTATCGAGACAATTTGAAGTGTGTATATCAAAAAATAATTTGAGGTGTACATTAGAATTACTGATCCGGATAAAATATAGGTCCATTAGAGGCCCAATAACGTACGAAGAAGCCCAGACCCATTAAGGATCCAGAGCAAGCGCGATGGACAAACATCGCGTATAAGACGCGATGCCCTCATCGCGCAGGACAGGACGCGATGCCTATATTGCGGATAAAACCCCCTTAAGGAAGCTAACTTAAGGCCCAAGGCAATCCCACCACGCCTTTATTCCAATAAACGAAATACAGCTCCAGCTTGCCGCGACTCTACGACTGGACATTAGAGAAGATAAGGCTACTCAGGTCCTAGTACTGACCTGCAGCCCAAGGCTGGCCACTCAGAGGTCAGGCCGTCTTGCTAAGGCGGCATCATAACCATTATATAAGCAAAGGGTACAACACCAAGGTATGATTATCCTTTACATTCATAACATACAAACTCTTGCATCTGATACTAACTTAAGCATCGGAGTGTCTTTGCAGGGACCCCCATTCGGATTCATCACGCTACAACAAAGGACAGAGACATAGTAAGATCCATCTCTGAGTCAAGGCCCAAGACCAAGAACAACAATCCACATCTCAACCGTGTGTGATTAGGCTACATATTGGCCAGCCCATATTATATTTGGTCTGATCATTTACTATATAAAAAGAGACTTGATCGTGAGGTCATATTGAAAGCCTTCATCATCAAGAAAAGGCCTCAGTCAACAAATGCTACTTCAATCATGATTGCTTCTACAAATTTCATTGCCAAGAAATATTTTTATCTCAACCACCTACAATAACCAATTAGAAAGGCTTATCGCCTTACCAGTTACCACTTACAATAAACTTGGAGGAACATCTCTCAAAGTTAGTCATTTATCCACTATAATTGGTTAGTTTTCCACTATAAATATGAACGTGTTAACCAAATATATACATGTTTTTATACATGAATAAGCCTGTATGAACTGTGAATTGATTTGAGTGTTAGAGTGTTTTACAAGTGCATTCTTCATCTCGTTTAAGTGAATACCCATGGATTAAAGTTGTATCAAACTATTTGCGTAGAAAAAGATTATATGATCGACCCAACGAGATAAAAATGATTCTGATAAAAAATCAAATATTAAAAGAACAATACTTTAATGGTAAAAGGAAAAATGACTAAAAAAAACTGTAAAATGCAAATTTTAAAAGAACAATGTAATAAAGATTTCTCATAAGCTATTACGATGGCATCAAACCAATGTTACTATCTTACCAAATATTGTAGTTTGACATTACATACAAAGGATTTGAAGTCTGGCTTCTTCTTCTGTAATTGTATTTACGCGGGGAAGCACGTGATATTGGCCGGAAATCGGATAAATTAAAAAATTATTTTAAAAAATATATTTTGATTTGGAAAAAGGGAAACATAGCTGAGTAACTAAAGATGAAAGAGTCTCGATTCGATCTCCACATGGCATCTTTGGGAGGGGTTTAAATATCTTCATTTTTAACCCGTCTCTTACTCCGGAATAGTTAGCCAGCTCAAAGAGTCCAAGCTTATTGGGATACTAGAGAGAAGCCAACTTACCTCAAAGAGGTAATTAGAATTGAGTTAACGAAAATAAAATAAAATAAGTGACTGAGAATAGGATTTCATCACCAAATGATGGTAGCTCAATTGGCGTATGAGAGCTGAGCAAGTGAAAGTGAAAACATGTATCCGATACTCCCTAATATCATCTAAAGGAGAGATTTAAGTGTTAATCATAAATGCGTCTAGAACAAAATTGTCTCTCGTAAAAGATACGTGTTATTTATAAAAAAAGTAGGATTTCATCTGGGCCAAGATTTCTTAAGTTTAATTCAATTGGTCATGGTGATGTTTTTTGTTTGGGAAAAATATTTCTGCAGTTAATGCAGATAAATTATTTGCAAGAGATTGCAGGAGTTCATGACTGCCAAAAGGAGATGACAAAAATCTTGCGTGAAACATAAACAAACTCAAAAACAAATGCTACATTTTCTATCAGCAACATTATTATGATCTTGTTACAATTATCATCTCCATGATATAATGTTATTATTCCGTGAGATCTATCGAAATTACAGGTTTCACCAAACAGAAGAAAAGTCCTCCAAATTAAAGTGCAATGAAGAAAATAAAAGGATCCCTCATAAGGATCCTCCAATTACAAGGATCCCTCATAATTAAGGATCCTCCAAGCAAAAGGATCTCTCATAAGAATCCTCCAATTACAAGGATCCATCAACAGGATCCTCCAACTTAACAGGATCCCTCACAAAGATCCTCCAATTACAAGGATCCCTCACAAGGATCCTCCAATCTCAAGATCCCTCATAAGGATCCTCCAATCTCCAGATCCCCAAAAGGATCCTCCAACTTCACGGTGCCCAAAATATTATTTATTAGAGTAATTATTTATTAAATACACCAAGTAGTTATATTATATATATATATATATATATATATATATGTATTGTCAAAAAAATCTTTTTAAATAAACAAAAATTATTTATTTTCAAAAATTTATTAAAGAACATATTCATTATCGTGCACACCGTTAAAGTTTAGTCAATCTTAAAAACTGTAATAATGGTCATAATTAAGTCAAAAAATCTTTTCGGTTCAATTTCTGATTTATGTCAGCAAATAAAAGATATGAACATTTGGATTTTTTCACGTGAAAAAAAATATAACATGATCACGTGAGGAGTTATAATCATACAAACATAAATAAATAGTAATAAAGAAAGAAAAAATATGTTAAATAGATAGTTATAAAATTATAATTGTTGATTTACTTTTATATAGTTGTGATTTTCTCACCGTGGTATATTTTTTTTCCACGTAACAGAATCAATTTCCAATATTCTCTGACCATTTTTTTATAATTCCAGCGAAGCGTGCTCGCCATGGTTGAATAGATAACACTATTAGTATCCATTAATTAAGATAAACTAACATTAATCGTCACGGGAACAAAGACGGGGGGAGCACATGGTTCGTTCAGGAACGGTAACCTTCATAAAACTAGTAATATATTATAAAATTAATAAATTTAAATTAATATATATTACATAACATGATAATATTTTGTATATTAATATATTTCAATTCAAAATGTATTATGTGAAAAATATTTGTTATTTTAAAGTACATAATTTTGTGTCAATTTAAGTAAAATTACTGTGTTTTGATAAAAAAAAAATTATCTTTTCTCTCTTTTACAAAATTTGGAGGAAAAAAAATATTATGGAGGAGAGATATGGTAAAAATCCACTAAGATACAAAAATTCATTTAAAATAACACAAAATTGTATCATTTAAAATAATAAATATTATTTTGTATATTATATAATGTTTCTTAATTTTTTTGGAGAACACCCTCTTACCAGTTAATTGACGTGTTTGATGATAGTATTTCTTAATTTTTAGTATTTATATTTAAAGTTCAATTATGTATTCAAGTATAATGACCTGATTTATACATCTTGATCTATCTAAAAATTAAACTCATCTAATTTAGACTTGATCATTATTTATATCACGGTAGACCCGGATCATGTTTAAAGAAATGATTCAATCAAATCAAATGAATCCCGTCAACTGTCTCCTGATCTGTGATGGAGATGCAATTTGGAGCCATTCTATTGGCACTGCGTAGTATCACATCTACCCTGGCGATGTGATATTATAATTTACAAAGTCATAAACGTCTAGAAAATATGGGATATTATTTTACAAAAGCAAATAAGTAAGTACCACGAGGTGTAAGGAAGATTCAAAGAAACATTACTTACGGCACAATTGACATAGCAACAGTATGAACCAAAATAAAAAAATAGTCCAATAATTAAGTCATGAATGCAATTAAGAGCAATATATATATAACTTTTTTTTTAAGTTAAAAGTTATTTTTAAGGTAAAGTTAAAATTAAACTTAAAAAATAAAGTTAGAAGTTGTTTGATAATTATATAATTTGTTTTCGGGATTTTGGAGGGACACAAATAAAATAATTTATTATTAGGATAAATAATAAAATTTGTAAATAGAAGTTTTAAATAAGGATAAACTAAAAAAACTAATAAGAGAACTTTAAAAAGTTGATATACATCTTTTAAAAAACTTTACATAAAAGTTTTTGGCTTTTTCTTTTTTTCTTCATTATAAAAATAAGTTCTTTTTACCATAAGAGCTTTTGTAAAAAAAATTATGTTTAGCTGACTATAAGAGGAAGAAAAAACTAAAAATTATTTTGGATTAGTCTCATAGCCGGCTCAAAGAGTCGAAGCTCGTGGGGATACCGGAGGGAGCCAACTCGTCTCAAAGAGATAATTAGGGTTGGGTAACTCCAAAAAAAAAAAAAAAAAAAAACTAAAAGTAGAGCTTTAGAAAAGACACTAAAAAACCACTTCATTAAATTGTGACTTATATATGAGAGTAGGGGTGAGTAAAATTATTATATGTAACCTTATTCGTATTTTTTTTTAAAAAAATGTTTTTGGATTTGACTGAGTTTCATCACTGCTCAAAGTTTATCCTTTCATAAATACACTCAAAAAATAAAATAAAACAAAGACATACCATAATAACTGAGATTGGCATTAAGGTGTGCATGACAACATTTTTAATTTTTTTAAATACATATTTAAAACAAGGAAAACTATTTTATTTATTAAATACATATATCATAGAATGTGTATTATTAAACATATTTTTTATCTGAAAATTCTTCTTGATTAAAAAAATTATTTTCCTTGATAAACAAGAGAACATAATGTTTGTTATTCCTAACTCAAAAACTTATTGCTGTGTGCTTTCATCACTTAAATTTCCATCGAAAAGCACTTCACTTGAATTTCATCACAACTTACTTAAAAAATAAAAAGATGACATATGGTTGGTGGTTGAATTGACATTTTATTTTACTTACATCCGTTTTCCAAGTTCACCCTTTGGGATATGCAAATGACTGAACTGGATAAGTTTTTTTTTTGGATACTGAACTGGATAAGTTTTTAAAAAGAATAAGCCAGTGATCAGGCTCTGCCTCAAGCCGTACACCTTGCACAGCTAGCACATACCAATCCAAAAGTTTATTTATTCCAAAACAACATGACAAACTTTGAGTTGTTAAGAAGTCCTCATGTTCCTACATGCATGCCACATACACCGCACAAAACCTTAATTTTTTTTTCAAGTCGGTCCACGCATTCCCACAGGAGTGTCACTGGGAGCTCAGTTATAAATTGAGGTGAACAAGAAGTCATGTAAACACAAGTCCTTTTGAGTGTTTGGTTTCTGATATTGATTTCTTTCTAGCTTCACAAACTTACGTAAGTCCTTATAGCTAGCTAGCTCTTCCTTAACTCTCATTCCACCTTCAATTAGTGTTTCTTTTGCCTTATATGACAATGCATGTGTCAAATTATTCATTTTGATTCTAACGTGCTATATATTGATTCCTCTTGTAAACTAATGCATTAAAAGGTCTTAAATTATATTCTCATTCCTTACACATTTTTGTGTGTCTCTATTGATCCCAGATATATATATGGATTCCGTTAGTAGTGTACTGTTGTTCCTGCTGGCATGCATTTTCATGCATGTTGTTCTTTCACTGCATGCAAGAACCAAAAAAACAAACCACAAGCTTCCTCCAGGACCTTCATTTCTTACCGTCATTGGAAACCTACCTGCATTCTGCTTTAGGCCACAACAAACAATGGCGAAGCTTGCCAAAGTGTATGGCCCAATAATGCGTTTGAGGCTAGGCCAAGCAACAAGCATAATCGTGTCTTCACCAGAATTGGCCAAAGCGGTTATGCAGACACATGACATGTACTTAGCAGACAGAACAACTCCTGATGTTACAACAGCCCACGACCATCATAATCTTAGCTTGCCCTTCCTCTGTGTTAACCCTCTTTGGCATAACCTAAGGAAAATTTGCCATAACCACTTATTCTCCAACAAGACCCTCGATGCAAGCCAAAACCTAAGACGCAAGAAACTGCAAGACCTCCTTGATGATATGCACAGAAGCAGCTTAACCGGTGAAGCAATTGATGTTGGAAGAGCAGCTTTCAAGGCTTGCATTAATTTTTTATCATACACTTTTGTGTCTGAGGATTTTGTTCGGTCTATAGGTGATGAATACAAGGATATAGTGGCGACACTCTTGAAAGCAACTGGCACGCCAAATGTGGTTGACTTTTTCCCAGTGTTGAGGATGATTGACCCTCAAGGCATTAGAAGGAACACTTCTGCTTATATTACGAAGGTGTTCCATCACTTGGACTGCTTGATTGAGAAACGTTTGAAGCTAAGAGAAGGGGAAAATTATGTCACGAACAACGATATGTTAGACATCTTGCTCGATATTTATCAAGAGGATAGCCAGAAGATGGACAAAAAACTGATCAAACATTTTCTGCTTGTATTTTCCTCTATCTCTCTCTTTTTATTTTATATATGGTATCGGGAATTTATCCTTTATATATGTCTCCTCTTTTCATATCATACATTAAAATTTTATTTATTTATTGACTGATCAACTACTAACAATTAAAATGGTTATTTTCTCCTTTTTATTGTTAAAATTATGATATAGTTGATGAATGGTATGGCCATTTATATGTAACAGGATCTACTTGTGGCGGGAACAGATACAACTGCATATGCGTTAGAAAGGTCATTGACTGAACTAATACACAATCCAGGAGATATGTACAAAGTCAAAAAGGAGCTTGAGGAAACCATTGGAATAGGGAATCCTGTTGAGGAATCAGACGTTGCTAGACTTCCATTCTTACAAGCAGTAATAAAAGAGACATTGCGTTTATACCCACCAGCTCCACTTTTACTACCTCGACGAGCGAGGACAGATGTGGAAATAGCAGGATACACAATCCCAAAGGGTACACAAGTGCTCATCAATGAATGGGCTATTGGTAGGAGTCAAAACATATGGGACAATGCGAATGTATTTTTACCAGAAAGGTTCATGGAATCTGACATTGATGTGAAAGGTCGTCATTTTCAGCTTACACCATTTGGCAGTGGGAGAAGAATTTGTCCTGGCTCACCGCTCGCTATCAGGATGTTGCATTTGATGTTGGGATCTTTGATCAACACTTTTGATTGGAAACTTGAAAATAACATTCAACCTAAGGATATGGACTTGGACCAATCCCTGCGAGCTGTTCCTGTTGCAATAAGCATCTAAGTAACCAACTTTCTTCAGTTTCTTGCATGCGATCGTGGATTTAATATTGCCTCTAGTTTTAAGTGAGTGTGTTTTTCTGTTTTTTTTCTTTTCAGTTAGTTTGATTTTATTTTGTTGTTTGATTAATCCACTTAAGTGTCTCCTCATATTTAAAGACTTTGTACGATGATATAAATAATATCTGCTAAAAAATATTATATATGTATTTGCTCTAAACTTTCTTGTTTGTCTATTTATTTATTTTACTTTTCTATATATATATTATTTGCTCTAAACTTTCTTATTTGCTCTAAACTTTCTTGCACGAAAATCAATGGTTAAGATTTGGTGTAAGATTTATTATTCTTACACCGGTGTAAGATGATCTTGCCTCATATATATATATATATATATATATATATATATATATATATATATATATAGAGGTAGGATCCTTTGACACCGGTGTCAAACTTTAATTTTGACACCTCGTCTCAGAGCCGTTAGATCAAAAAAGATCAATGGTGTCATATGCTTGCAAATTAGAGTCATTGAATTTTTTGGATCTAACGACTCTGAGATGAAGTGTCAAAATTAAAATTTGACACCGGTGTCAAAGGATCCTACCTTATATATATATATATATATATATACACGTGAAATATATCTACAGCTGTTGTATGTGCGGCAGTCAAATACTTACCATATATATACGTGAAAGCATTAAATGTGGGGAATCATAGCCATGCAAAATGGAAAAACATTAAATGTTGAGAATCATAACCATACACCTGTCATTGCTATACATAAAACGACTGTAGAAATGATTTCACCATATATATATATGAAAAATGTTATATTTACAAAAATTTTGTTTACAAACTAAAATACTATGTCTTATTGGTAAGACACTCTTGAATGAAGTCTTACCGATAAGACATAATGTACATTGTAAATTTGTAAACACATTTTTTTTTTGTCAATACAACTCTTCTCTCTATATATATATTCGTTTCATTGCCAATTCTCCTTAGGTTTTTATTATTTAGCTTATTCCCTTGTAATTGTTCATAATTTCAGGTTATAAGAAAGAATTAATGTCTCTTATGTTATAGGAGCTAAAATGATCTCCTACACACATATAAAAATGTGTGTGGCTCATTTTTTCTCTCTCTCTCTCTCTCTCCTCTTCATATAACCTCATATGAGTCCCTTACACTTTTATGTGTGTGTAGAAGATAATTTTATCTTCTATAACTTGAGAAATATCAAGCCCTATAATAAATTAAGTTTATTTCTAAATATGTGGAGTTCAAATATGAAATAGTTGATGCAATTTTCAATCTCTTATTCAAAAATAATTTTCACATTTTTATATATTATTTTGAGATAAGTTATACTAATAACATATTTTTTATAACCTCTAATGATAGTTTTCATTATCGTTAGATCAAGATTAAATTAATAACTTTTAATTGATGTTATATTTTTTCTTGTTAATTTAAGTTTGATCTAATGAAAAATGGAAATTAATGTATAAGAGTTTATAAGAAAAGAGATTATAATTATTCCTTTATGTGCATGTCTCATGCGATGTGTCGGACACTGCATAGTATATACCTCAGAAGAATTTATAAATTAAAGTTATTTTAAATTATTTTTTTATCACTTGTTTTGATCTATCTTTTAAAAAATAAAGCAGAAAACCTTCTAAAAATTGTATATGATAATTATGTAATCCTTTTATTCACACGTTTGAAAAAACCAAAATATTCCCATATAAAAATTGTATATAATAATTGTGTAATCCTTTTAAATTTAGCAGCACCAAGTGGTTTAAGCATTGACGGAATTTGCTTCACCTGTTTATGTAACAGGGAGAGAAAGTAAGAATAGAGGCAAAGAGATTAGATGGAAAATAGCATTATGCATATCCTCAGGGGTGTTCGTGATCTGGATTGGATCAGTTTTGGAAGCAAAAATCACCGATCCAATCTTTTCGGTTTGATCATATAATCATTCATTCGGTTTGAATTTTTTTGCAAATCTGATCCGATTCAATCCAATTTTTTCGGTTTGGATTGGATCGGTTTTCGGTTTTTTGAAAATCCTAAAATTTATTCCATGATTATTATGCAAATAACATCTTTTATATATTTTGGCTTTGTAAATTATTATTATTTTAAATACAAAAGCATTAGTAAACTATAATATAGTTTTTTTTTTTGCAATGAGATATGAAACTCTACAAAGATAAAATTGTTGATGAGATGTGACTAGATTTATTCTTGGGTTTAGTTGATAACCAATGAGTCTTGGGTTTAAAAACTTTTGGGCTATGATTGGGGAAATATCCAAGTAGGTAGAGGAGAATTAATATATTGGATCGATTTTCATCAACCCATCCAAAAACCGATCCAATCCAATTAAAATTTGCAGGTTTTTTTTCGGTTTTTGATTTTTCGATTTTCAGTTTATTCGATTATCAATTTTTTGGTTCGGTCACTGTGGTTTGAATCGATTTGGATCGATTGATGAACACCCCTACTCCATTATGCTTGACAATCGATTAAATAGTTTAGGGTTTCTGCCTAAACCCCTCAATTGGGCTAAAACTAATTACAAATGAAAAATACCAAATAAACAAAAATGTCTTTAAGGTCCTAATCAGAAAATAATTCAGCCCATTACCTAATTTTTTTTAATTTTTTTTTGGAATCATCCCATTACCTAATTCAACACAAAATGAAATCAGATAGTTACTTGGGCTGACCAGCCCGTATCTTTTTATTGGGCCCAATGGATGCGGGTCGGTTGAACTCACAACAGTTTGTGGTGTTATTCCCACGTGAATTTGCTTCATAAGTTTTTTCCCTCATGAAAACAATTACATAATCTTTTGGGTGTTTTTCCCTCGTGAACCTTGCTTCACCACTTGTTTTCCCCCTTATGAATTTGCTTCGCCTTCACGTGTCTCAGAAGTAAAGAAGATAGAAAGAGAAGATAATGCATGAGGCAGAAAAATACGACATCACCCCTCATGCCAAATATTTTGGGCATGCCGCATGCCCGTGTTTCAATTTGGCCTTGTTTAAATGCTCTTTCTAAAAATGGTTTTCAAAAAAAAAAAAAAAAAAAAACCTGATTTGTAAAATAAGTTTTCAAAATTGTAATTTTTTTTTAGAATCAAATTTAAAGAATATATATAAGTTGTTTTTATTTTATGTGTTAATTTTTAACTTTCAAAATAAACAAATATACAGAAAATACTTATTTCCATAATTATTCTACAAAATAATTTACAGAAAAAACAAATCAGAACACAGTACACAAACCCAAAAGTCTATCAAACCAATCATTTTTCTTTTCAAGGTAGAATTCAAGGGTGTACTGTACGACATTAGTGTGTTGTTCGGAACCCAAAATTTTTAGAGATGAGTAAAATTACAACGTGTAAATTTTTTAAAGTTTATTTATAGGAATAAGAAATTGAAATATAGTTTCTGATGTTTTATGAAATAAATTTTATACAAAAAAAAAATAAAAAATCGAGACCCACCAATAAAGTCAGACACAATTAGTAGATGGTTGGGTCTATTAAATATGATGACAAAGATTTGATTCCTTCAGTAATTTTGTGTATAAAAAATGTTTTATATATTAGTAGAGAATTTTCTTTTGTGCTACTGCCGTATGCCTACAACATTTTCTTAAATTAGAAATTTTTAATACCACTTAAATTCAAGTCTTTTTTCATAATTCTTTTCAAATTCTAAAATTTTCTTTTTTTAAGAAGTGATGTATGGTGCAATAATAACACCTAAGGTTTGCTTTATTAGCAGAAATAAAATCAACTTCAATGACTTGTATGTTTTGAAAAAAATTAGTCTTTAACTATCAACCAAAGAATATATTGAGAAAACTCACAACATTAAATCATACCTATTTGTTTTCTTTTTCTCCTTTTCTTAGTGAATTTTTCCCTACGTGTTGTGTGGAATTAAAAATTAACAAGCATTACAAAATCTGGGGCTCGACACTCCCATCATATCCCTTCTCAAAAGAATGTTACACACTTGCGGAGGCTCATGCAAGACATGCAGCTCTCAATCTGAGTACCAGTGACCCATTGTTGCTAGCTTGTCAGCAACCATGTTACCTTTTCTAAAGGTATGGCTAACCTTAGTAACTCACTGCCTTCCCAATAATTCGCGGATTTGTGTAATTTTATTTATTTTTTCATTATTGAAGATAGTGGAAGTGGGCTATTGGGAGGGGTCCAAACATATGGGACAATGCAAGTTTGTTTTTGCCAGAAAGGCTGTTGGGATCAGGTATTGATGTGAAAGGTCTTCGTTTTCAGCTTACACCATTTGGCAGTGGGCGACGAATTTGTCAGGATGTTGCATTTGATGTTGGGATCATTGATCAACGACAAGAAGTTAAAATCAAAATTTTACTTAAAATTAAAAGAAAATAAAAAATTATAAAACATAAAACTGTAACATACAAAAATTATAAAAATATAAAAACATTTAAAATATTAAAAAAAATATTTTAATAAAAAAAATCATCAAAACGTAAAATCATAATATTTTAAGGGTTTGTTTTTTCTGATGTTACTTTAGATAATTTTATCTAATGTTCATCAAAACGACGTCGTTTTGGGACGGAAATCATGGTATTTTTATAATTTTAATTTATTTCAGGGTTATAATAGTCTTTATCACTCTAATTTTTTAATTTTTCAACCTCAAAACAACGTCGATTTGATGAACATTAGATAAAATTATCTAAAGTAATATCGGAAACTTTTTCCCCATATTTTTAAGGGAAAAGTGTGTATAATTTTGAAGGATGTAAAGTTGTGTCATTTTAAGAGAGAGAAAGAGATAGATAAATGAGGAGAGAGAGTTGACAAAAAAAATAAAGTTGTGGGTCCCACCTCTTTGTGAAAGTAAAAGGATGTAAGTTGTGTAATTTAAATGTATAGACACTTTTCCCTATTTTTAATTATCATG